TCGCCGCTTCCATTCCAAGCGGCGGCGGCAGCAGCCTCAGTCGCAGAGCGTCCCCTGCGCATGCGATTCTTTTTTCAACATTTAGGATTTTTGTGCGCACGTGGAGACTGCCCCATGTGTGCACAAACCTCTCCCTGCCCCCCAAGTGCCCCCGAAGTGCGGATTTAGATATCCGCACAGATGGGGCCACTTCACTATTAGATATATAAATAGGGACAATGTTGTCTAAGAACATGCCTTCCAGAGTAGGCTCTGGGACACCCAGGTTAGGCTCTGGGACACCCACCCTGCTCTGCCACAGTAGCTTTCTGGGGGACCTTGGATCAGCCACTGTATTTCAGCAGCCTAACCTACCCCACAGGGTTGTTGTGAGGATACAATTTGGAAAAGGAAATCTTATGAGCTATTCTGAGCTCCTTGAATGGATGGTGGGATAGAAACATGCTAAACAGAAATTAATCTCCGGCATTAGGAGGATTACGATAATAGCCTGAAACATCTTTTTCCTCTCCCCTGCCCTTTCTTTTTGTGCTTTAAGATCCAGCCTGGCTGACTCAAAATCTGCACACTTGTGTGTGTTATGTTGTTGGTCCTAATAAAAGGTATTACATGCTTCTATTTTTGGATTCTGAGTGTGTCAGAATGGGCTGTTCTAGTTACCTGTGCAAGCCATCAGGAGGTGTTCTGTGCTACACTCCTGTGCATGCTTACTTGGGAGTGAGTCCCATTGATGGATTTACCTCTACTATGTGTATCTACTATCACACTGAGAGTCACCTTATTATCATATCTACTATTGCACTGAGAATCACCTTATTATTTCTAGGGATGGGCATGAACCAATAGGCCAGTTTGTGAACTGAACTGGCTCATATTGGTTTGTGACCTATTTAAAGTTTAAATCCCTACTTTCTACTCCCAGCAAAAAAGCAGCAGGGAGTAGAAAGCAGGGGTTTAAATGGCTCCAAGCTGACTGGTGGGAAGTTGTTTTTCATGAAGAGCAGAAAGAAGGGGTTTAAATGGCTGAGCCATTTAAAACCCTGCTTTCTGCTCTTTAAGAACCACCATGAACTGCCACAAACGTCATGGAAGTTTGTGGCAGTTATTCATTTAGTAAACATTGCTTTGTGAGCCACAGACCTGCCAACATTTCTGACAAACTTTAGTTCAGCTGTTTCATGCCCATCCCCAATTATTTCCCATCATGCCTATTTGGCATTGCCATCCATACTGTTTTCAATCTATTGGCACACTATAAATAGGACGGTCACAGGCTGTATTCTTCTATCAGATACAGCAGCCTATTTATGCAGAATCCTCCATCACTCAGCTTTAATAATTGATTACTCAGATAATAAACAGTGCATGGGGTATGGTCTGGGAAATTTATTGTGACAGCTCAGCAGAGGAGGACACTGCATACATAGACATCTGCATCTGTCAACAGCCAAAGATAGAAAATGAAACTTAAGGTCAACACATGGGTCAATTGACTGGTTAACTATTGTCAACTGACCACCTGTTATTAGACTGTGAGCAAATGCTGTCAAGTATTCCATGCATGAAGCCAAAAATGCCACTACATAGGCAGTGGCAGGAACGAGGAGCATTTGCAGCAGGGTATTAATTACAATTGTTTTGAAAGTCAAGTCATTGTTTCACAATAATAACAAAACCTTGTGTCTTAACTTGTTTTTCATAATCACCAGAAATATCAAACCTATGGCCTTTTTGTTGTCCTGATACTGTTATAATGTATTAGAAATGTTTGAATATTATTTGGCCACATTGGATCAGTCACTTGGTCAGATATATTTTTGACTGGTTGAGTACCCAGCCCTAATGCAACCAAAGAGACAGGACTGAAACCTATTGACAACCACAAACAGAGCAAATACGTAGAAGGGATTCTTGCTGCCACTGTCTCCTCAGTACAGCCCCTTACCCCCAAAAGTGACTCCTGACTGTCCAGGAACCTGCAGGGAAAATGTGTGTGAGGTGGCTATATGAAGCAGGACCAGGGGCTGAACTAGATCAGAGAATTCGCATCAGTTGCCCTCCCTCTTGTGTGAGTCATGGAAAAGGTGGTGATGGGGTTAATTTCTCAAGATCTGGCCTTTTACAAGGGTCCCCAGATTCTTAGGAACTATGGAATGAGGTAGGGGGATGGAGTGAGAAGGGGGAGATGACAAAAATCCCTTCTGTGAACTTGCTCTGTTCATAGTAGCACAGGACCCAACCCATTTTCTTCTTAAAGCAACAGAAAGAAGTAAAGATAGAAATTTGCTGTCACTTACATAGTCATTTCCTCTGCATTCTCTGCTGCAAAATAAAATGTCTTGATCTGTGGATGGGTGATTTTGATAGCACTTCCAAACAAAACAAAAAGGAAAGGAAAGAAATTCAGCATGTACTCATATAGATGAGAACAACTGTATTTTTAAAGTGAGTGTTTGGGATAGTTTTAAAGACATATCCCACTAATTTGGCCGATATTTTATTATCTCACAATAAAAATATAAAAAATTAAAAGTGACAACTTGAGAATTATGATCAGTCAATTTGCATCTCTTCTGTCCTCCTCAATGGAAAAAGAATCCCTGTTTTACCTGGTCTTTTGAAGGTTAAGGGACTGTAAAGTAGGAGCTGGTGTGAATTTTGTAGACATGCATTTCTTTTCCACAAAAGAAACAGTGGAAACCAGTGATTAAAAATGTACAAAATATGAATCATAGGATCATAGAATTGGAAGGGGACCTCCAGGGTCATCTAGTCCAACCCTCTGCACAATGCAAGAAATTCACAAATATCTCCCCCTCCACACCCACACTGACCGCTGTTCCACACCCAGAAGATGACAAAAATATGGCAGATTTAGGAATTAATAGCCCTGGCTCTTCCCCCCAATTCTGGAAGGCATTATGCAATAGGCTTTGCAATGAAAAATATTCGACATTAATATTGTTGATTTTGAGTTACAAAAGGCCAGCTGTCCTGCACATGTGACTTCTTACGATCAAGAATGACAGAAACTCTCAAAACAGTGATATTGCTGTGCAGATTACAGTTAAATCCTTTCCCCTGGAAAACCAAAGGAGCACCATTACTATTTATACTTTAATCTGTTTGCATAATTGTATAAATCTAAGTCTCCATACACCCCAGCTGTCCTCTATTAATTTCACATATAGCACTTGGTGTGTAAAAATTTATTTGCCCAAAGCATTGGGTGGAATGACAGACTTACTACTTTTTCTTGCACTCTGTGGCTTGCTCCACTGTGAAGTTTGGAAGGCTGAGGAAACCTTCTGCTTTCTCTGCCTGTAACAAAGTAAGCTGTCAGCATCCACTCTGAAGTTTACCAAATTATTTATCAGAATCATGCACTGGAAATTGACAGAAGTTTATATGGTATTTCTAACTACGAGGAGTTAGAAATATGAAAGAAAACATCCAAGGAGTGGGGAGAAAGGTTCAGGGCCTCTGTTGCATTCATCTAATGTTTACCAGCACAGTAATTTGAACATTGCAGTACAAAGTAGTATACTTAATCTCAACTGCTACTAGGGATGCCAGCCTCCAGATAGGACCTGGGAAACCCCCAGAATTACAGCTCATCACCAGACTACAGAGATCAGCTCCCTTGGAGAAAATGGCTGCTTTGGAGGGTGGGGCTCTATGGCATTGTACCCCACTGAGGTCCCTGTTCTTCCCAGGCTGCATCCCCAAATCTCCAGGAGTTTCCCAGCATGTATCTGGCAACCCTACACCTCCCCATCCCTTACCGGTGGCCAGGGGGGACCTGGCAAACTTAGCACTCACATAGTACAGGTGATTTTGAAAAAGCCAAATGTATAGAGGTTAAGGTTCCTATCTCAACAAAACTAAAGGTAGGACACATCTAGATGGGCACTTACCACACTTATAGCTGTGGTAGAGAGGAGCTTATGTATAACAACAATTTCTATCACAGATAATGCAGACAGATTGCATCCAGTTATGTAACATGGTTTGGGGTACTGCGTTATTGGCAATGTTATGCCATTGGAAACAGTGGAAATCATTTTCACAAGCTGACTGTAGATACACTGAAAACACAAAACTGGGCCAACAATGTCAGACTACTGACAATCTGATCTCTCACATCTGGAAAGATCTGCCTGACCCATCAGTTTGTCTCAAGAACAAAAATCAAGGGAAACTTGACCTCCCTTGATGCCAAAGACAATACCGTCTTACTGGAGTTGTACATGACAAGGAAACATCAGCCAATAGGAGGAATTGTGGGTGCACTGGAAACAGCCTATGAAAAAGTGCAACAGCGCAAAAGGAGAGAGGGCGGGCACACCAATCTCCCTTGTTGGAGGGTGTTAGCTGACAGTCGGGACGTCCTGGTCGAGGTTCGGGAAAAGGCAGAAGAACTTCTCGGCTACAAAAATCCCTGCAGTGGATGTTTCTGGCCAGGTGGTGGAAGTGTGGCGATTTGACAGACGGCTCCTGAAGCCTGGTCGACAAGCAGCCGTTCGGAAAATGACTGAGCCAAGCCAGAAGACGTTTACGCCGTGCAGTGACAGCATGTGCGATTAAATGAATATATGTTGTCTTCCCTATCCCCTATGAACATTGTTAGTCCCCTGTCTAAAATGAGTAACTGTACATCGCTTTGAGCCCACTGGGGAAAGCGATTAATAAATTGAAAGTATTAGTAGTAGTAGTATTATTATTATTATTATTATTATTATTATTATTATTATTATTATTATTATTATTATTACATAAAGAACAGGAAAATCCAATTACTATTCGCTGGAAAACATGAATGAGAAAATTACACAAAAAGAACTAAATGACATCATTGACCTTGCATTGAGTGAGCCTGTTAGAGAGAAACTGGTATTCTCTTTTCAGTGTAATCTTCTCATTCATGTTTTTCCTGTTCTTTATGTATATATATGTTTTTCTCTGTAACTGTTTTTCAAAAAAGACTTTTCATAGATTTTACATTGTTACTGAGTCATTGTTTTTTTTCCCCTTTTGTGCTGTTGTACTTTTGTTGTGTACTGACCCGGCCATGTGCACGACCCGGTTTCGGTTGGTTCCGCATGTGGCCAAGCAAAGGGCCTGAGCTTCGTTCATGAACACAATAGCCAGTCGGATCCTAGTTCCCTGCCAATCAGGAACCTAGGATCCAAGGGAATAATTTAATCACTGTATATAGACCATTCACGGGTGCTGGGTGTATGTGGGTGTGTTTTCCTTGGGACATATAAGCCGGCCTGCGAGCCGGCTACTTTATCTTGTTCTTCTCCTAATAAAGTATGAGAGCTGAATTCACTAAGCAAGTCTCAGTACTTTTCAACTTTTCTGTAGGTTGTTTTGATGGATTGCCTTTTTTTTTTTTTTTGTCCTTGCGCTGGAAGCAGGACAGTGAATGGCACAGCCATGTGGCTGGCACTTATTGTGTGAGTCTTTTCCATGATGGATAAATTAATTTAATTTGTTTAATTTCAAAACATTAGTTTCTTGGATAACTTATTTTCAAAATTAAAATTTCAAACATCTTTTTAAATACTCTGATTTCATAATGAATTTAGTAGAACATGATAAAATGTAGTTTTATCATGTATGTTTTAAATTGTTAGCTACCTTGATGTCCCCTTTGAGGGGAGAAAGGTAGGATATAAATCTTGTTATTTTAATGCATATTTTTCATCTCTTAAAACTGAACCAGGACTATTTATCCAACACATGGAGGCTGCTTTTCTATGTTAAATACAAAAATCAAGGAGAAAACACCTGATTGTATTCAGAGGGGCTTATTCCCAGGAAAGTGTTTTTAGGACTGAAGTCCTAATTAATTATGTATTCTTACTGCACCCAAGGTCCAGCAAGTCATTACAAGTGCAAAGATCCAGGAGGTGCTATTCTGTGTCTCATCAAGACCATTTGTGTAGCCCATAAGGTCTGGATCATGTACAGTTCTCAAATTCAGACAGAAGCTTCTACCCTCCAGACTGCATGGATGTTTATTTTCCATTTCACTGTGAATTATTCTACCAAGGAACTATCAGCTATTGCTTATGGAAAATGATGAATAATTACAGACTGATCATATGCTTTTTTATTTTACTTATTTATCAAATTTCTACCCCGTCCTCCCAGCCAAGGCTGGCTCAGGGTGGCTTACAGAAGAAGTAAAAACAACAATAGGTAATTTAAATAGGTATTTTAAATTTAAATAATACTTTGTTCAATAAGTTTTCCTCCTAAAGGATTGTGCATAGGAGTATCAACTGAACATATAAGGAAGTGAACTTCTTTAGTATCCTTGTATGCACATACAGTACCAAACACATACCTGCTTCTTCATCCTAATATTGAAACACATTCACTGTTTTATCATGATCTGGGATTGGATGATGGTTCTATTTATTTGCAAATTAATAGGTGGAACAATGAAAGGATGAAATCCATGCAATGGGTCTCAGGACCACCACCACCCCCTCAGCAGGATACAGTGGGGGGTGCAGGAAGAAGGAGAAATAAGCAAGACGCACCCCACATACCTCCACCAACATTACTCTTGCAGAAGCTCTTGCTCCATTTGTGGAAACACTTATGCAAGAGAAAAGGGACTGATTTCTGCCTATTTCCTCTCAAGCTACAGCCCCCACTTCCTGAAAGCCACCCTGTCTCCAGGGTCCCTCCCCAGCCATCGGGAGCAGCTTTAAAGGTGTGCAAGAGGCTATAGGGGGAAGGGGAATAGATTCATTCTGTGAACATCATCTTGTGTTTTGTTATATGCACACTTGTCAGGAAATACAAAGGAAACTTAAACCAGTGTACACTGAATTACCAGTTCTTCATTTTCTCCTAAACTGTACTTGAAGAACCAGTTTTCACACTGACCTGCTGTTGCTATGCTACGGGTCCCTGCAACTGGGAAACTGCAAATTTTCCTTCAGGATGAACCAAAATTGTTGCGTCACAAAAACATGACCCATCACATAGATAATAGGGTTTTTGCTATAGATGCAGCAGCCAGCAGTCGGTTCCCCCCTTTACTCTGTTTTACTCTGTTTCATTTTACTTTTGTTTTGTTTTGTTTTCTTATCCCATTTTTGATTTGTTTTAAATCAGTTTTTAAAACTGAGATAGGCATGGATCCTCTCCCCTCACAGGGTGGGGCAATAATTTTAAAAGCACTGTCACTAATTCTAAATAACCTCTAATAATTAAGTATTTAATCAGGAACTCCATATAGCTGTATAGGGGACTTGGGATCATTTTTATAAGGCACAGGGAGGCCAGGGTTTTATTGGTTTATTAAATTCTATTGGTTTTATTTTGGTTCTATTTTATTTGCTCTTTTTCTTCCTAACATCCCCAGAAATCAATTTAATTCAATACAGCAAATTCCAACACATTTAAGATAGGGGCTTCTACGATTTACCGGTGACTAGACACAGCTTTAGGAATATGAGTAGTCCAAGTTTAAAGAGCTAACTAGGTTGAATCTATTTAGAACACAAATCTCGCATAACTCAAAGATTACCCTCCCCACTAAAGAAGAATTTAGTGTGAACTGCAAGCGCAATTGCCTTTCTGAGGCTCTCATGCCCCCCCCAAGCAAAGTGGGGTAAAAGACCCCTTTAGATACTATCATAATTTTGAGAACAGCTTTGAAGTCTCACAATCAGCCACAGATCAAGTTCTTCTATTAAATGATACAAATGTGAGTAGTGTCAATAATCTTTTGAATGACTCTCTAAACAAAGAGGTAGCTGTAAATCTGGGTGGTTTTAAGAATATGTCTCAACAATCTGAGCTATCTAATGGGGACTCAATATGTATGCCAGTAAAGGTACTGAAACTGAAACTCAATATTGAGTCTGTTAGCATCACAAACCCTCCTCATTGCTGATACAATTGATTGATCTTTCATTTATAGTAACATCAGTTTATATCCCTCCAAATCAAAATTGACATGTATTGACCTCTTATTGGTCTTTTCTTTTGGAAAACTATGACAACTTGATCCATTGATTTCCTAACTTTCCAATCCTTATTGAAGGTGGCCTCAATGGTAGAACTGGCCAAGATGATGAGTGTCTGATCAAAAAATGGTTGGGCTCTGAATCAGAAGAAACTATTTCCCCCTATTTGTACAATAGATTCTCAAAAGATAAGACAGTTAACACTGCAGGTCTTAAATGGTTTGACCTTTCCATGCAAAGAGGGTTGGTCATCCTAAACAGACAAAAGGAGATTGATGGAATAGGTGATTTTACCTTTTTTGGTCATAAGGGGGCCAATGTGAT